CTGACAAGACAAACAGCATGTTTTATAATTATTGCTTCCATGCTTTGTATACCCTGTTCCTTAGAGTAAATTTTTTACTACCCCTCACCCTCCTTACTTCCTAAACCTCCCTCAATAAATACGCATGTTGGGAACCAGCAATTAGCGTAATGGCTATGTCGCTGGACTCCCAAGTAGTCGACCACGGTTCATGTCCCGGACCCGGTGGCTTAAAACCCACGCCGGGCGCGTGTGCGTGCATGCCCAAGATCCCAAGAGGAGAATGGAGGAGAAGGGATTGCGGCATGGCCATCCCCTCTGGGGGGTGATTTCTCGCTTTCTGTCTCTCTGTCTCTCTCTGTCTGTCTGGCGAGCGCACACCCCCTATAGTGAAAAACCTCTCAAAAAAATAAATAAATAAATAAATAAATAATAAATACGCATGTTTTAATAGCCAAGGCGCGGCGGTCTGGAGCAGGTTCTGGCAGTGGCCGGCTGAGAACATGCTAAGGAGCAATGAGGTCTCAGTCTAATTTCTGTTCCTGATCACCGGTGTCGCCTTCCTGTGTACGAGCCACCCTCCACTGCTGAGGCCAGACCCCGGCACACATGTGCCCAAGATCCTAAGGAGCTGGAGGGCTGAACAAATGGAATCAAGGCATGATGAGGCGCTATTGGGGATGCTTCTCTCTGTCTCTCTGGTGCCTGTGCATATGCTCGCTATCATTAAATAAGTAAATGAAAGAACGCAAAATGCTGTTCTAAGTGGCATGAAGAATAGAATATCCAAATCCATAAAAGAAGATAGGATAGATAAAGAATGATATCCTATAATTTTTCCATGTAAAAATTCTTTCTTGTATCATAGGCATATACTAATTTTCTAAGTCCTTGATATAAGAAAATGTGCTCATTTTTTATCAAAGGGCATTTTAATAAAGATTCTGAATTTTCAGAAGTTAAGGGTTTGTGCTAACCTATAGCTTTATTTATCACTGTATTTTTAAAATTATTTTCCTGATGCTTAGTTGTTAGCAAAAATATTTAATTTCATAACTATTGCATATAAATACCCACCTAATCTTGAATTCAGAAACTGTCATGTACTAATTATTTGATAATGACAGCAGATAGTTACTAATAATTACTGCTTTTCTGTAAAAGTTGATTTTGCAAACAGGAAGTGGTGTGTTCAGCACTGAGTCTCCAGAGGCAGCTAAAAAGTCCGCCTGCTTCTTTTCCTAGAGTTGAAATAAACTTGGATGGTGCTTAGGTTTCTTTTTTGAGAACTCTGCTTCAAATGCTTTATTTTCAGGTGGCCACAGTGTCACCTAGATATTAGACAGACATCCTGGAAAGACAGAGTATTATATAGGAGAGGAGGCCCCAGGGCAGTTTCTTTGACCATCTCTAGGAATGAGCCAGTCTAAAGAGAGCATGAACATGATATTTCATTATGGGGTTTGGGTTAATAATAATTGGTCATGATGAAATGTTTTAAATAATTTATCTAAATAATAAAGGACCAAATTTTAGGTACAAATTATACACATACACACAAATACAGGTTTAAGTAGAATAGGCTTATGTTCCTAGATGAAGTCTATTCTATGCAACGTAAATTCCAACACTTTGCTTAGTAGGAGTAGAAGACATGGGCTTTTAGCTAAGTATCCCATGAATTTCTCTTGGACCCTTGCCCAGAATATCTTCTGTCCTGTGAATTGTACCTGAACAATGAAAGATGTCCATCTCAGAGATTCTCTGAAGACAATTATCCTGCTCCCCAAATCCTAGCAGTTAAGATACTGGCAAAGAATATATAATCTGCCAGGCGGCAGTCACTATGCAATCAAGGACCCTTGGCAACTACCTGACCCAGACTAAGAAGTGGGAGAGATTAAGAGTCTTGCTGAAGTGAGAACCAGATGGTGCAGCATAGACCAGGTGGGAAGGGTCTGGGAGGTTGTGGAAAGGGCTGAGTGGTGAAGGATTTAAATGCTACACTTCTTAACTTCTGCTTCCATTAAGAAACAAAATATCTTTAAAATTTTTGTCCCTTTCTATTATTTTCCCAGATATTTGCAATGTATTTCTAAGCTTTGTTTTTAAAAAGACTCTTATTATCAAGGGAAAACTAAAGAATAAATAAATAATGTTGCTATATTGTATTACAGGCCTTTTTTTTTTTTTTTAAAGAGGTCAGCCAGGTGGCATAGTGGATTTCCACATGGCCAACCATGGTCTGAGTCTCAGATCTGGCAGCCTGAAATTCTCACAGGATGCACGTGCATGGATCCCCAAAATCTCAAGAAGAGAATGGACAAAAATGGATTGTGGTGTGGCCATTACCTGTGGGGTGATTTCTCACTTTCCCTCTAACTCCATGTCTCTCTCCATTTTTCTCTGGCAAGTGCACAGGTCTTATGACAGATAAAACCTAAAAAAAAGGGGGGGGATCTTTCCTTGTTGCTGTCCTTCTGCTTTATCCTGTCCAAACAGCAGGGATTACAGAGTTTATGTTGAGTTGGGAATCAAACCTATGAAGCACAATGCCTTAGCAGTGTGTGTCATCAAAATTGGATCTATTAGGTTTTTCGAACATAGAACTTTAATTAAGAAATAGTTCCTAGACATCTTCATCTGAAGCTTCCTGCCCAGTCAGTGAATCTGAGGCAGAGCTGAATCTTAGTCCCAACCACAACTCCAAGATTCAGAGTCCACCTCCCAGTTTCAGAGCTTAAAAGGACAGGAGAATTGCAGTTCTCTTAAGCAGACATTTACATCTGAAGTACCCTGCCCAGTCAGGATCTGAAGCAGGGCTGAATTTCAGACCAAGACATAGCTCCAAACTTCAGAGCTCACCTCCCAGTCTCAGAGCCAGAAAGCACCCATCCCCATAGCAACTAGACAGGTCTAGATTTATAGTGTTCAAACAACTAAACGTTGTGAAACTCAGAGGAATCCTCACTTCCCTGCCTGTCTCCCTGAACCACCAACAAAAAGGGAGAAATTCCTCTTCAGAAATCTGAATTCAAACTCCTCCTGTGGGTACTACATAGCCAACCACAGTAAAAGAGAGATATTGGCACAGAAGCAATTTCACAGCAAAGGGGAAGCAAATGAGTTCACAGGTGCAGAAACCTTC